ACCCTGAAAATTAAAAGTCTTTGACTTTTTTTATCTGACTGAAATTACTGTCCACTAGAATGCAGTCGTTTCTAACACAAGCTGTCTCTGCTTTCCGAGTGGACACAACCTATCCGTGTTTTAAATTCRCAGTGAAATTATTTGCTCCTCAGTTCCCTTCCTTTCAACCTTTCCTTGCCCTCTGACCATGATGGCAGTTCAAAGCAACCAAACGTTGTATCTCAACAGGATGTCAGCCTTGGATGCCCTTTTCTCCCTCATCTGAARAAGTGGCAAGCCAGTTATGGCCATCTGGTCACATCTTCCTCCTCTTGGGCATTTGGTCTGCATGGTCAGATCTGTTTGTATTTGCTGAGTTTACTTGATGCTCTGCAAACTAAAATGACTTGACGGCTCTGGAAAGTGGCAGGGTGCACRTGTCCTAACAGCAGCTCGGCTGCTGATCCCCAGGAATGGTTGTTGCTGCTCTGCTCCGCTCTCCGTCTGGCATCGCACAGCTCTGCCAGAGTTTCCAACTGACCTACAGCTCCATCTGCTAGTCCGGCTTTAGCTCAGTCCGGAACATGCCTTTTGTGGTTTTGTTGTGTGTTGTTTGTTTGTTTGTTTTGATGCAAGTGCCAACTCCTTGAGGTTAAGATAAAGTCACCTACACGTGGTTTAATCACGGGCTTAAATCCTCTTGCCTCTGTAGGACTCTTACACATGTTCATAAGCCATGTTCACCAGCACAGCACTGAGAGGCTGTGCTGAAGACCCCGTGAAGCCTCTGTCCTTGTGTCCTCTGAGACAGAAGCCTTGCAAAAGCATCAGCTGCTTCSCCAGGCTAAACCTACAAGCCTGTGTCTTCTCCAGTGTGTCTGGCTGTGGCTCCAAAGCCCATTGCTCTCCTGGGGGTATATGCCATGCCATTACATGACTGATATGGCCCCTCTGCTGTTTTGTTCCCTGCAATAATGGTAGCAATTTGGATTTCTGTACCAAAGCTGGTGCAACTCTCCCAGCCTGCAGCTCAGTGCAGTGTTCTGCTGCCTTGCGTGCAGTCTTGAGGTATCAGTGGCTAAGGGTATTTGCTCACTTTGAGGCCACTGTGTAATTGTTAGGGTTTTGTTTCATTTTCAGTACTGTTGGGTATTTGCTGTGTCAAACTCCAGGCATGGGTGTGTGATAAAGGGGGAGTAGGTAGGAAGTATTTCTCTCTTGAAGGCATGAAATTTGTGTACACCTCAACATGATGGGGTCAAATTCTCTGACAACACCACTAGTTCTCCAGCAAAGCTTGTTTTGCTCTCTTTGTTCCACCCCTCCTATGTCTTCCCGTGTACACAGACACGTTTCTGAGGCAGGTATCCCTACTCTGAAATTCCTCCCCCAGGGAAGGGGACCCAGGTGCAGTCTTAGTTCCAGGAGCAATCCAGGAGATGCCACTAGTAACCACTAGGACTTGGTGTTGCTGATCACCACTCTTTGAGTCCAAGTCACCAACCCATTATCCATTTCACCTACTTATTATCCATTTGTCCACACTGTATCCTGTGAATGCTGTGCCAAAGCTCTTGCTGAAGTCAAGATATGTTACATCTACTGTACTCCTCATATCTCTGATGACAGTCCATCATCATGCTGTAGAAAGCAATCAAGTTAGTCAGGCATGATTTGTCCTTGGTAAATCCATSCTGGCTRTTCTTTGTCACCTTCTTGTCCTCATGTGCCTGGCAATGACTTTGAGGAGGTTTTCTTCCATAACTTTCTCAGGGGGTGAGGACCAGCCTGTAGTTCTCTGGTTCTTCTTGGTTTGATGATAGGCGTGACGTCAGCCTTTTTTTCAGTCAAAACGAATCTCCCCCAGTCACTRTGACCTCTCAAAGGTGAGAGAGGGCACAGGTGATAGGGAGAAATGACTGTCTGGCTCCCTTAGCACATATTCATGGAGTCACSTGGCCTCTACCTGTGCTTTGAGGAAGCCAGTTTTGAAGAGCTCAAGCTCTCTGCTCTCTTTTCCATCGGATCTTTGCAGAAGGATCCCTCAATGAATTGAGGTCTCCTCTCMCGAAGTGCAGGGATGTGATTATAGTATTTGTCATACTTTTGTCAGGATCTTGAACTCCACAGTCACTCATGGTCAGTACAGACAAAGGCTGCCCATGACCTTCACATCTTCATGCAGCGCTCCTTTTTTGTGAGACAGAGGTCCAGAAGAGAGGTTCTAGTCTGCTTGTTGATCACCTGCATTAAGAAATTGTCATCAACACACTTCATAAATCTCCYGGATTGCTGGAGTCYTTCCAGTAGATATCAGGGTGGYTGAAGTGCCTTGGGGATTGTAAAGCTTCTTCCATCTGTCTGCAGCAAGCTTCATCTACACGCTCCTCTTAATCAGGTTGATTGACAGTAGACACTGACCATTAGGAGTGACTCTGTATTACCTGCTGATCCTTACTCCTAAGCTCCCAGCTAGCTTGTTGTCACGTCCAAGGCAGAGCTGCGTGTTCTCCAGCTGCCCTTTGCATGGAATGCACCTTTCTTCCTTGCCTTTCCAACCTTTCCTTCCTTGAGAGCCTCAACCCACCCTTCGCAGTGCATTTGTCCTGTGAGCCAAYCCACCATATCTCTGTAATGACAATGAGTTCATAGCTCTGCAGATCTGCATGTGGTTCTAGTTCCTCCTGTCCGTGCACCATGCTGCCYGCATTTGTGCTCAGGATGTCCCCCCAACTGCTGGCTCACAAACGGGGTGTGAAAGCCCCTTCATTACCTTCTGTGCTATCACTTTTCCCCCATTTATGACAATCCTTTCCTAATTTACCTACTTTAAATCTCTTCTCAYCTAGGTTAGTGAGCCCGTTGGCAAAGACACTCTTGTCTTGTTAGCTAGATTCTGTCCCTGCTTAGGAGCACCTATTCTAGGTGCTAGGACTAGAGGGAATGGCCACAAGCTGAAGCACCAGAACTTCCACAGGAACTTAAGGAAACATTTCTTGACAGTGAGGGTGACAGAGCCCTGGCACAGGCTGCCCAGAGAGGTTGTGGRGTCTCCTTCTTTGGAGATCTTTAAAACCGACTTGGATGCAGCYSTGTGCCATGTGCTCTAGGGGACCCTGTGTGAGCAGGGGGTTGGACTARATGACCTCTGAGGTCTCTTCCAACCTCAACCATTCTGTGATTCTATTCCTCCAAGAGAGTCCTCGAGTTCAAAGACTACAGAACAGCTGAGGTTAGAAGGGACCTCTGGAGATCATCTAGTCCAACCCCTGCTCGAGCAGGGACACCCAGCGCATGGGGCACAGGGAGGCATCCAGGCGGGTTTGGAAGATCTCCAGAGAAGGAGACTCCACACCTCCCTGGGCAGCCTGTTCCAAGGCTCTGTCACCCGCACAGRAAAGAAGTTCCTCCTCACATGGAGATGCTAATGTCCATAAGCCCCTCTCTGTGCCCCCTACAGAGAGGGGCTAATGAGCTGTGGGTTATAAACAATATTCCTGTGATTACAACAACACAGGTAGAAGAGAGATGCTTCTCTAGGCTTCATTTCCTTTCTCATCTAGGTTTGCCTCCGAAGGTCCATCAGCTATGCCTGCCACGAAAGGGGAAGGGGAGCTTTCTGTCTGTTTACTCTGTGGTAAGCAAAGCAGAAAATGATCTTGTTTCATTCCTCGCTACACACAGATTCAGAAGCTGAAAAAATAAAAAATAAATAAATAAATAAAAGAAGATTCCTTTTTAGTCCAACTCCCTCAACTCCTCCAGAGTACGAAGCGTGGAAGCGAGACATTAATGTGAGAAGGGAAAGATTGGAACAGCCTGTTCTGCCTTGGGGGAAGGCTTAGAGCCTGAAACGTCAGACACACTCTGTACCTGGAGTCACAAGTTCAAATCCCAGCAGGATCATCTCAGTCCCTCAGATTGCCACATCACACAACTAAGTTAGCTCAATAGAGGCTCTATACGGGCCCTGGAAGCCTGAGACACGTGCATCCCGGTGAATTGTTAAAGATTCCCCCACGCTTTCTGTGCTGTGCCTTGTGGCGTAGCTCCCGTTAGCCATGGCACAAGTCCCAGGCTCTGAACAGGTCCTGGGGGTTCAACAGAAATCAGTTTCACTGCTTTTTGGTCTGGTGAGCGTTTGGTTACACGAGCGGAACAGGCCCCTTGCTAGCAGCCTGGGTTGTGGGTGCTTGAGGGAGGCAACAATAATTAAACCACCCCGTGAGTCCGTGCCGGTGAGTGTTTGCAAGGTTGTGCCTCTAGACCTGCCGCTCTGCCAGAGGAAGGAGAAGTGCATCTGGGACTACTCGGAATGTAAAAACTGACATGGAGAACAGGTACAGTGCAGGAAGCCTTTGTACTCCTTCCAGATTTCCTCAGGGCACTCGGATGAGCTCTTTCATGGAGGGCGCAAACCTTGCCAAGCAGAAAGCATCACAGTTGCAGCAAATGCCATTTCTATCTGTAGTTCCTTGGAACTGTGGAAGCCTTGTGAGATGGTTCCCAGAGAAGAAAATTAAGAACAGAAACTAACTAGAGACAGTATGAGCCAGGAATGCTTTTCTGATGATGCTGTTTTGGTGCCCCCAGCGTGAGAGCTTCATGTGAACCATGCCGGTTTCCCGTTATCGAGTCCCCATGGAAGTCAGCGCTGCTGGATTTCTGAGGCATTGTGTCAGGGCTGTCCTTGGTCAATGCAGGCAGCTTTCCTGAGGCAAGAAGGCCAGGCTTTCTCAATACTTCCTGACTCAGCTGTGACCTTGCCTGCATCTCTGCTCTAGTTTTCCTTTCCTGCTCCTGGCTGCTTCACCCCGTGCTTGCTCCTGAAAGCAAAGCACTGTTTGCTGTAATTTCCTACATTCTTTATATTTTAAGTCATTGGAAGAACGATGAGCTTGAACTGATTTTCCTCACTGTGGAGAGGCTGCCATCTTTTATTCGGTGCGTTGACAGACTTCCAGTGTCTTCCTCTCCCCAAAGTGTGGCTAATGAAGTCCAAATGTGTTTTATCTTCACAGTTCCACCAAAGATCTCCAATATCTCCTCGGACATCACCGTGAATGAGGGCAGCAACGTGACCCTGGTTTGCATGGCAAATGGGCGTCCCGAGCCTGTCATCACCTGGAGGCACCTCACCCCAACAGGTAGAGTACCCAGTTGTACTATGTCGATGATTTATGAACTGTGCAGTAGTCTCATTTTCCAACATCCAGAGAGAATTTCAGTAGCCACTGAGACAGCTGTAAAACAAGTCGTAAGGAATTTAAATGCACTACAACATGCTTTACAGTCTGATCTCCCAGGGACTATAACCCAGTTGTCCCAAGGAACAATTGAAATTACATCAGTAGAAGCTCTGCAGAATTGAACCTGTAATTCCATTTATCTTTGGGCTTCATCTAATAGTCTGAATCTCTACTGGTGGTAATACACATGGTGAAAAAAACCCTTCTGGAGTGAAGAAAAAACACTGCGTTGCTGATGGGAAAGGATTTTAGTTCAAATACTACACTAAACAGGATCTTTCCAAAACCGGAGGATTTGCTTCCACCTCATTTTGCCTTGAAAGGAGAAGGCAAGTAGGGACATAGATGATTTCATGTTACCCTCTACTTTGGCAAACAGTCTTCCTCTGTTCTGTGAGATGGGCAACGGAGGCATTTATCCTGCAAGATCAGTGAAGGGCAGGGAGAAATAGAGAAAGTGAGAATTCATTCGCATATTTTTGCTAACAAAGAACCCATTTGGGTGCTTTTCATGGTCCAGAATGTGGCAAAATTGGAAAAAGAACATCTTTTCAATAGTCTGACTCTATGGGGCTAGCAGTTTGGGTTGCAAGGATGATCCACCCTTAAATTTTATTAGTAGCAAGGCAGCAAGACGTAGGTTCCTTTTCTTTCAGCCTACCATAGCCTTTAGAGAAAAATTATTTTAGCTTTTGCTATCAGATGTTGTTTCTTCTAAAATGAATGGCGAAAGTGTTTGATAATCCAGTATGAATAAGGTTCTGTGATACTTCCATGTGTGTAGTCTGTATGTGGTGGAGACAGCCAAGTTGACCATTGCAAATCAAAAGCCAGAAAGGAGTAGAGAGCTGTAGAGAACAGGCTGAAGGGAGAAGGGCATAAGGAGACACTGGAAGAAGGCTTTATCCAAGTGCTGTATCCAGAAGCTGCATCCATGAATGTGGGGTTCACATTTGGGCTACTTATATTTCCTGTTTCATGCATTCAGCCAAAACAAAGTCCTCCCAAGCTCTCATGTGAAAGACATATGTGCGGTTCGGTTTGTATTTTTGGCCTAGTCTTGTAGTGTTGGAAGAGAGAAGACAGAGAAGGAGTGCCAGGGAAAGGTGGGGGGAGGAGAGATGATGTACCACAAAGGGACACTAATCCCTTCTGGAATCGTCATCTAGCACCTAACCCTCCTCTTCTGCTGTTGTCAGTATTAAGCATGGCTGTGCCATTGAGATCTGTGGGGAAATAGGACTGATTTTTTTCCCTGATTTTTTTTCCCTTTTTATTAAGTTATATATTCACAATCTGCTAACTTCCAAGCGGCAATTTTTTAAGATTTATTTTTTACTGAATCTTCCATCTGACTGCTGCATCAGTCTTTCAGCCCTCGCTTCCATCTAACTCTTTCTTGTATTCAAGTGGGAGTAATTTCCTAGCTGTTCTGTGTGCTTAGTCTAACATTGTTTGAGTTAAGGGAATTACAGGGATACCAGATTAAATCTTCATGAAAGCTAATATTTCATATACATCAGATGCATTGTGGAGAACAGCAATGTGAAGATTCCTGCCCTGACTCATCACTTTGGCTGCATGCTTGTGCTTTGTGTTTATTTCCATTTGCTCTGCCTACTCTATTGTATTAGACACAAACCTTTTTATCTCCATTTTAGGGCTCCTCAGAGCAAAACTCCCCTCTAGCTAATCCTCTGGTTTACAACAGGACTGCCATCCCTGCTTTGATTCCAGGATTGGGTTTTTTCCTGGCTTATTTTTTGGTTCTCCACCATGCACATTCAGGCTTTTACTCCTGTCCTTCCTGTCTCAGAGGCGTTTTTGGTTACTGCCATCAGCACTACCTCACTGTGCATCACATTCATTCTGAGAGCTGCCCCCCTGCAGTGAAGCCAACCAGATACCCCCTTCCTGTCCAACCAGAGCCCAGGATAAAGGGCAGGCAGTCCCCAGTCTGTCACGACTGTGTTCATTGCTTGCTGCTCTCTTTCTCTCCTTCCCCCATCACAACCCATCTGTGGTCTCGTTATGCTTGTGGAGGGACTGCTTCAAAGCAGATGTCTGTGTCTTTGTGTACCATGTAGACGAGTAAGGTACTTGTCCCAAAATGAGGGATGTGAGGCCTCCATGTAAGTCTTTTCTTTGAGACTGACAGTTAATATAAATACCAAATCTATCCCAAAGCTATTGCTATTAGAAACATCTGTATTGTCTTGGAATTTCCCTTTTCCAGAACTGTTACACATTTTGGCTCCATTTATGCTAGTTTTCAAATCATCTCCTATGCATCTAAGAGCTATTTTAGATCACTGTAAGGGTTTCAAATCTGCTTCTCTTTCTCTCTCCATGGATCTTTTTGTGGTTAAACTCGGGACTAGAGAGCTGGAAGAATGAGTGTTACAGAGCTTGTGTGGGAGGTTTTGAGTGGACAGTTTGTGAAATTAAACTCATACTGGGGGCGAGAGGACCATATTACTTTTTCTTTGTGCACTCTTCTCAAGGAAGTTTATTAGCAAATTTCTCTGCTCTTTCATTCATTGACTTCATCAATAGTGTTTGTTGGCTTATTGGGTGAGTTAAGGTAGAGAAATGATTTATTTTTTGTTGGCTGTGAAATGCAAGAGGAAAATACAAATGCAAAGGGAAAACAGTATTGGCACTTATGCAAAGAGACACATGTGATAGTACAGTTAAAAGCTGGTGGGCCTCAGGAGTAATCGTAGCTCAGTTGTTTGTCTATTTGTGAAGTTAAAAATTCACTGTCAGAAGTGCTTCACCTTCCTTTCCTCATCCTTCAATGAGAGGTTGAACCAGGCACCTACCTCATAAGCTCTAAGTCCCAAAGCCAGAAGCAACCTACAAGAAAGCCCCCTCTCCTTTCAACAGGAAAGGATTGCTGTTGATCGTAGCTCTGAACTCTGTGAGGTAAGGGGGAAAATACCTTATTAATTCACATGGCAAATGACAATACAGGTCACCTTTATTTCCAAGCAGCTTCTGGTAACGAAAGCAGAAATGACATTCCTTGGAACAATGTGAGTCTTTATTCTCCCCCTCCATTCCTTTTCAGGTGATTGACTGTTTTTTTTAACAGAACAAGCAGAGAAGAGATATTCAGACAGATCCCTTTCCTTGTTATCTGATAGGCTATTATGCTGTAGGGCATGGGCACCCTGGTCATAGTTATGGGTAGTTTAATAGGCACTGCCTGTGAGGACRAACAGCTTCATTAGCTCCTTGGCTCCAGCCAGCAGAGCTCTCTTCTGGCTGCACAGGTTTGTAGGTCCCAACCCTGGCCCCACATCTCCCTGCCCACAGCCCTGTCTCTCCCTCGGTGAGTCAGGACTCAACTGCAGGCTTATTAAGCCTGCCATACCATGTGACTTTTGGCATCCTGGTTTGTGAGGGCAGCCCGTGGAAAAAGACCGTAGCAGTCCTCCGAGTTGCACTGTTCAGAGTGAGAAGGAGTGCAGATGGTTTCCTACACGGAAAGTATCTGCACGGAGTGCAGATGGTTTCCTATCAGTTGCCAGCATTTCACTGGGGCATATCTGTTGTCTTTCTTGTCTCATTTCAAGAGATGAGAGAGTCTCTCATCCCTTGAAAGGGGCAGAACTCAGATTGCTTTCTGTAACTTTGTGCAAGGAGTAGGTGTTGTCCTGTTGTTTTCTTTGCCTTAATATTAACTCATGATCTCCAGGCCCTGTGACCCACAAAGGTTTTGATTATTTGTTCCTCACTGAATGCAATCCAATCAAGTTTCCAATTGGTGCACCACAGCCTGGACAAGCTCCCAGATCAGGACCAYATATCATTCATCATACTGACAGGTTCCATGTGGGCTGCCATGGACAGCCTGCCCATCTATGGTCAGTGGTGTTAGGAGATGCTCTGTTTTCCCTGGATTGTATACCAAAATAACAACTTACACAGTTAAGGAAAGAACACAGTGAGATAGCTTACAGATGGTAGTCAATGCCAGCTTTTGAGCACGCCTTTACTTCATGTCTTTCTTGATTCACTTTTTTTCAGGCTAATCCATGAATTCTCCCAACCTTTAAGCTGCTTAAATCACAATCCAGGGGCTCTATCATTTACGTTTTCTCATGTCTCCATCTTATTCAGAGGCATGCTAGATGGCTAGTTCCTTGAAAAAGATCTTCCTGGGGAAAATAAGAGATTCATGTACATATATATTCTTATTAGCAACCCGCTGTTGACAGAAGCCCTGAAGAGTGGCCACTTGTGAACTGGGTTAGCAGTGAGGTGGATGTGGACAGACGCTGTGAGATCTTTGCATTCCCAGAGACCTCCAATGCCAAGCCCATTGCCCCCTTTGGAGAAAGCACCTGCCTYAGGGATCTTGCGCTCAAGCTAGCAGAAATGGTCCCATTCATTCTTTTTTTCTCTTTTCCCGCAAAGTATCGGTGGCTGAAACCTCCCTGAGGTGCGAGTGCTTCTGGCAGGTGTTGTGGCATCAGCACCTGCAGGCCATGGCACCCTGAGAGGTTGTGGCAGGGAATACAAAGCTGTACAGATGTCCACAGGATTTGCATCAGCRTTGAACAAGTGATGTTTTTACCGCTTCTGCATAACCACGATGACTTGCAAAGAATTCCCTTTTCCTAGAGTAGTGACAGTGTGTGAAATGTGCGTAAAAACTCCAGGTATTTTATTCCTGATCCAACTTCCATGGTTCCAGCACAGCAAAGCAATCTGATACCGAAGAGAACAGCTTGGATTCACTCAAATTCCACCTGACACTCTAAAGATACCCACTTTGGCTCAGAAAGGAGCTTAGTTATTACAGTGGTAATCACAGTATAAAAACCAGTCTAGAGCAAAGCAGATAAGTATTGATTGTAACACCTAAGTTTCATGTCACAGCATAAAAT